TCCGGTACCGGGAACCGAACTCACGACCTTGCGCTTGCCAGGCAGGCGCTTTTGCCGCTGAGCTAAATCCCCAGCCCCCACATCAACTTTTAACAGCTCTTTTTTTTTTTTTTTTGCTACCAGGTGTTGAACTTGCAACCTCAAACTTGCCAGGCAGGCGCTGTGCTGCTGAGCTACGTCCCCGGCTCTAACAGTTGACTCTGATGCACCTTTGTTAGCCATTGCTACACTTGACCTCTGCATGTGGTGTTCTAGAAGAAGCGCCAAGATGTGGTGTGTGAATTAGAGTTCATCCACACCTAAGGAGCTTGCACACAGACTGTACTTTCCAGATACCATCTCAGGGGCCGAGGGTTATACAGCTCAGCGGTATGGTGCTTACCGAGTGTGGGAGAAGCTTTGGGTGTGGATCTCCAGCATGGCAAAAAGACACTGTCTCAGAGTTTGGAACCATACCGTTGCTTTCTAGTGGCCTGAAACTCTGGAAACCACCTGGTGACCCGGCCTGCTGGGACTTTGCCTGGTCCACCCAGCCCAGCTTTCTGCTCAAGTTCCGGTGTAAAAAGTAGGGCTTCAAATGCACAACATAAGCTCTTCCTTGAAAACGCCACATTTTGAAAATGTCCCTGTCTGGTTCGTTTTCTATAGCCATTGCAATAAACTGCCAGAAACTTGGTAGGTTGAAACAACACAGCTTTTTTGAAATTTTATTTTATTTTACAGTTTTATAGGTCAAATGTCCAGCACGGGATTACTGAGCCAGTGTCAAGGTGTTGGAAAGACTGTTCCTGAGGCTTTCGAGAGGAATTTGTTTTCTTCCCTTCTTCTAGCTTCCAGAAGCCACCCACATTTCTTGGCTGATAACTACAATTTTCCATCTTTAAAGCCAGTGGTGTTACAGCTCATTCATTCATTCTTCTCCAGTCAGCTCTCCCTCAGCGCCTGATGCCTCTTTGGTGTCTCTCTTTTACTATTAAGGACCCTTGTGATTACATTGGGCCCTCCCTGATAATCTAGGAAAATTTCTTTGTTTTCCAGTCAGCTAATTAGCAGCTTTAATTTCCCTTTCATCATGTAGCTTAACGTAGAGGTGTGATAAAAATGTGGCGAACATTCATATTTTTAAAAATTATTACAGTAAAAGACACATTGCCATTAATTTCCCTCAAAATACTTCCCCTCGTTTTGAGCACACTTACCATTCTTGTCACTTTCCAAAGCAGTGCTGGAAGAGCTTTTTCTGTGGGCATCTAGTTGTGTTGTGCTGGGTGCCTGGATGACCTGAATTGATTCAAAACACTTGCCTTTCATGGTCATTTTTGTTTGATTTTGAGACAGGATCTTGTTTTGTTGCACGCTTGCCTCAAACTCACAGTAATCCTCCTGCCTCAGCCTCCTGAGTCCTGGGATTACAGGAGTGTGCCACCACACCCAGCTTCATGGTCATTTTGACCTTGGGCAGGAGCCAGAAGTTGGATGGCGCTAGATCTGGTGAATAAGGCTGATAAGGATGCACCATGATATTTTTATGAACATGCCTTTTTGTTGGGTGGCACTGGGCAGCCGCACTCACTGTATTTGTTTTTTTTTTTTTAAGAGCAGAATATATTTATTGAGGGAAAGAAAGCTTCTGTCCTAGAGAGAGACAGAAGGGCACCTGAATGGGTTGCCTGCATTTACTGTATCTTTGATCACATCTTGTAAAGACACATGGGGGCTGGGGATTTAGCTCAGTGGCATGGTGCCTGCCTGGCAAGTGCAAGGTCATGAGTTCAATTCCTAGAACCAGAACAAAAAGAAAAAAAAAAAACAAAAGAGGACTTCTAAAACTGCTTCAGCAAGTGGCAAGAAATGCTGGGACAAATGTATTCAAAGCCAGGGAGAGAAAAACAGACAAAACAAATTAAAAAAAAAAAAGGGGGAGAGTATTCTGAGGGAGATTAATGGCAATGTGTCCTTCGTTATAATAAATTTTTAAAATTCAAAAATTTACCACGTAAATTCCAATCACACGCAGTATTCGCAGATTCATTAGGACATGGACACTTGGGGGAGGACTGTCGCTGTGCCTCCACGGTCCTCTCCTGAGTTTTACCTGGATAATCAGGTGTAAGTGACGTGCACAGTGCCTGTCTTCTGGAGGGGCTGTGTGCAGGGTCAAATCTTATCGTTTACACCACATCGTAAATCTGCAGCCCATAGCTGACCTGGCTGGCCTTATAAGCTAATAGTTGGGGAATTTTTAACTTAAAGCTCAATTCAGAGGCCTTAGGATTTTGCAATCCCCATGTAGAATCCTTCTGTCTGGTGAGTGTTGTAGTTATTGAACGGGCACATACAGAATGTTTACATTTAAGAGCTTTACAAACTAATGTAATTCTTGTGAGGACCTTATCAAGTATGTAGGATTGCTAGCATCACCCTAATTTTACAAATAAAGGGGCACAGAAACGATGCGTGTTTTGTCCGGGGTCACACAGTATGTGGCGGGGGTGGGACTTGAGGCCAGGAAGTCTTCAGGCAGCGCAGAACCCTTGCTCCTGACCACCACGCCTGCCTCCCTGGTTCCTTGTTGCGCTCTAGGCCGCTGCTGCTGTGGCGAGCAAGCTTGCGGTCCGTTCTCCGCAAAGTCGAGCCTTCGTCCCAGCACCAGCCTCTTCCTTCTGCTGCTCAAGCTTCCCTTTCCCCTCCACTCTCACTGGTGCAGGCCCTCGATTCTCCCCAGGGCAGTCCCACAGCAGGCTGCTGGCTGTCATCATGATATCCATCCCATGCAAGAACGGTGGGGACTCCAGAGAGCTAAGCCTCAGAGCCTGTCTCTCTGCCCACTCAGGTTTGACTGCAGGTTCCCTGGGACGTGGATGGAATAAATCAGCTCTGCATGCAGCTTCCTTTCAGAATCCCCAGTAGGGAGCTGAGTAAGAGCCCCTTTGCGCTCAGAGTGACATGCATTAGGCAATGCACCCTTCTGGCTCCTGTCCGGAGCTGGAGGGGGAAAAAGCATGACACGCTTCGGACCCTCCTTTCTCTCCTCTCCACCGCCTGGCAGGCTAGGAAGAGGCTGGGGGTTTCTTTGCCTGAAAGCAGGCCTTGGTGTTCTGGTAGAGGGGGTTATGCTTTGTTAGGAGAAGACTCAGGAGCTCATCACTCAGGCTTGGCCTTTGGTTTAGTAAGGATGGAGCATATGGCAAACCTAAGCCATGACTGGCTTCTTCAACTATACAGTGGGACAGCACCTCGATGCCAGGCCCATCAGAGGCCCTTATTGCGTGGCAGTTAGCTATCACTCTCTAAATCCAGAACATTCACAATTCTTTGACTGTTCTGATTCCATAAAAATATACATGTGTTATGTACCACTGAAACAAATGCTGCATAATTTGATTCTTAATGCATCCTTATAATTTTTTTTTTGTTGTTGTTGTTTTTGAGGCCGGGTTTCACTATGCAGTTCAGGCTGGCCTTGAGCTCACTTTGTAGCCCGGGCTGGCCTCAAACTTACAACGATCTTCTTGCCTCAGCCTCCCAAGTGCTGGGATTACAGGCGTGTGCCACCACGCCCGGCCCCATCCTTATAATTTTTAATACTGTTTTTTTTTTTTTTTTTTGAAAAGAAAACCCTAGTGATGATTCAGAACCCCTCTTCCCAAACTAACTTACTCTTTTCTCTGACATCTCATAGTGCCCTGTCCAAAGCTAGATTCCAGTGCTTCTCATGTTACACGGTAATTTATGTGTTGCTCTCTTCCACTAGGGAGAGACTTTGTCCTTTTCATCTTTGCATCCCCAGCACGCTCAGGAGTAGACACTCAGTGAATCTTAACTAAAGAGATGAATGAAGAACCCCTGTCTGTGTGCTCAACACAAGAGAAAAAGGTGGGGTTCCTTTTATTGTAGCACATAACATGTAGTCTTGCTTTGGAGAGCTCAGACACCCATGGGCAACCAGCACTCGGAGGGATTCTAGCAAACAGTAGCACATAAACCCTCCTGCAGAGAGGAACTAAACACAAAAAATGAGGACCAGAAACTAACAGTTTCTCCCTGCCTGATTTTTCTTGCCTCTGATCTGGCCAGTTTGCATCCCTATGCTAGAAGTCCTTTCTGTGGTCCACAGTAATTTAGTCATATAAAACTGTGCAGACTCAAAATTCAGGGCATTTGGCATTCTGCGAAGCCAGACTGGAGGAAACAAGCCCACTGCGGAACATGGTGGATGTGGTTTAGGTAGCAAAGCAGATGACCTAACAAGGAATGTATGTGCCGAGCCTAGTTTGGGTTAAATTTAATAGTTCACGTTCTGGCACATTCGCAACCTCACAAGTCATAGCAACCGGATGACGACATGGCAACGCAGCAGCTGCAGCCGCTGTGCCTGAGAACACCCGAGCCTGGTGTCTCTGGAGGGAACGCAGAAACGCTCTCTACAACTGCAAGTGGCAGCTTCTGCAGCACTGCCCGGGGGGCCAGGGCCGGGCGGGGCAGCAGGTAACAAGAAGATGCTTGCCCTGGTCAGGGAGAAAGGTGTAGGACATCTCCCCTGCCTCCTACAACTTCGTTTTGTATTTTAAACGTAAATAATTGGCTCCAGCCAGAGAGGAACGGATGCTGAGGGGCACCGTCCTGTGGAGAGCATGCCCTTCCTGGCCCTAGAGGCAGTGTGGCGGTGAGTCGGACCACAGCCCATGGCTTGCACTTCCGTTGCAGCACCCCAAGCTTTTCTTTTTAGTTTTCAGACACCCTACCCGTCTCTTCTGGCTGTCAGAGTTGGGGGACCTCCTTTCTAGCTCTCCTTCGAGAACCAAGGCCTGACTCCAGGGCCACCGGTGTGCCAGGGCCTCAGGTATCAGAGCAGAAGCCCTGGGGAGGAGGAAGATTATGCCTGAAGAGATGTTAATTCTGTTTTTTTAAAATTTTTTTGAGACAGGGTCTCGCTATGCAGTTCAGGCTGGCCTTGAGCTCACTTTGTAACCCAGGCTGGTCTCGAACTCACAAGGATCCTCCTGCCTCAGCCTCCCGGGTGCTGGGATTACAGGTGTGCGCCACCACACCCAGCTGAGATGTTAATTCTGGAACACAGAGACATCTGCACGTGCGGATGTGTGACCGGTAAGTAACACCCAACACCAGGGCTGCCTGGGGCTCAGCAGCACTCCACACCCTGTGACCCAGTTTAAATTCAAGGTTAACCTTTGCTCTGCACATGGAATATGGGCCAGGCCTTCTGTCTTTGGGATTTATGTACTGCACTTAAATCTGGGTCAGGCTCTTACTTCTTCTCTGTATTCTCTTTTCCAGATGAGGGATCAGGAAGGCCAAGTGGGGTCGTCACTGGGACTCTGCTGACTTCTCTGTCCCTCTCTGTATTAGTTAGCTACCTGCGGCTCACAACATTGCAGTTTAAGACAACAAACATTTATTATCACAGGATTTTTATGGGTCAGGAATGCAGGCAGCTTAGCCAAGGGTAGGCTGTAGTCACGCTGTTGGCTGAGGTTAAAGGTATCATTGGAAGGTCTGATTAGCATGGAGGAAGCTCACAGTGGTTGTCGGCAGGCCTCAGGCCTTTCCCACAGGGCTGCCTTAGGACCGCCCCCTTCTCCTCAGCAAGCACCCCAAGATAGAATGAAAGGCAGGTAACACCCAAGATGGAAGCCACAGGTTTTTTGTTTTTTACAGCTTAGTCTCAGAAGTGACATCACATCACTTTGGTGTACTCTATTTGTTAGGCTGAGTCAGCGGGTGCAGCCCCCACTTAAAGACAGGGTGTGAACCAGGAGCAGAGCTCAGGGGCAGGGAGCTGCTCTCCAGGCTGTCCTCAGGGGCTCCACACAGCGGCTGGAACGCCGGCAAATGCTGTCCTGTTTTCCACAGAAAGCAGTGTGCACACGTGTGCATTTGTGAGTGTCGGGGCCTTCCTGCATTCACAACAGCTGTTAATTACTTCTGGGCACACAGAAATACTGAATATTCATGAAACTGTGACTGAGAATTTGGAATCACAGTCCTGAACAAAGAAATATTCTGCTCTTGTTTTAGCGAATGTGGAGTATCACATGACTGTCTGTAGACGCCTGGCTGATATCTTTTCTACTCACTGGCTGCCTTAAAAAGGACACATTAACGAGTTCTATTACAAAACTGAAATGGACAATCCCTTCCCCCTTCCACCACGGTAGTGTGACGTAATAAAAAATACAGAGAATTATAATTATCGAGTCTAAATGTGCACTTATTTCTTAAAGCAATATTGCTGTTCTCACATCGTGCATTTTGTATTTATAATGTGCCATTAACGTCTCGGTAGAAATTAGAACTAGCACAGCAACAGCTGCAAGGAGGCGGTCTTCACGTTGCTAGGAGAGCTTGGATCTTCACGCGCCCAGTCTTTGGGTGAATCTGTGGCTTCCCGAGAGGTATTTACACAGACCTGGGGATCATTTTCCAGATGTCATTTTCCATCGGTCTCACATCCATCCACCTTTCTGGACACAGCCCTCACTCCAGCCTACGGTTTCCTGTGCTTTGGTAAAAAGATGGAGCCTCGCAGGGGAGGTTTTATCTAGCCAAGTGTGCTGGTAACCGGAGCAGTGTTTGGGGAGAAGGAAAACTGTCCAGCCCTCGCTAACCGAGGCTTTGAGCGCCTTTCAGAGGCCTCTTTTCCATTGCAAGCTACAGTGAAGCCGATGTTTGTTAGGAAAGCCCTCCAGCTGCAGTTTCCACTGTCCGCTTTTTTTGGTAAACCGCAGCAGAGGCGAGTTCCATTTCCCGCCCCCAGCTTCAGGGGCACAGAATTTTTCTTGAATTCTGCTGTTTAACTATTCGGTTGCTACTTATCAGAAACCCAAAAGGTGACTTTCTGTTGTAGCTTTTAAAACGGTGAGCAAATGTACGCGGGGCAAGGATACATTTCAAAATTATTATTGCCCGCAGCTCCTGAGCGCAGGACTCCGCCCTACCCTCTGAGCCACTTTTGTGCAGGGGAGAAAAGCCGAATACATCCCGCCCTAAAGACCTCCGAGAAGGGGACGAGCGGGAGAGCAGGAGACCGGCGGCGGAGGGCCGGAACAGGACGACCATTTCGCAGCCCCAGTTTGGGCGCTGAGATAGCCCCGGAAACGGCAGCACGTGGCAAACGCCCCGCGGGTGCAGCCCGCGCACGGAGCGGCGTCGCGCGGGCTCTGGAGGAAGTGCGGGCAGGAGCCCCGCGTCGGAGGGCGCAGGGTAGGCGCTGTTTGGGAAAACACAGAGCACGCTGCTGTCTCACCCGACCTCCTTAACCTCATGTGACCTCAACGCGAAACGGGACACTTTCCTCCCCCTCGCCTGGCCCCGTGCGCGCCCCTGCGCAGGGCGCT